GGGGTCGACACTGAGCGCCGTCCGCCAGCAGTTGTCATGGACAGAGTCCTGCGGCCCCAATAGTCGACGATGGCGGCAAAATCGTACACAGCAGGCCACAGCGGTCAGTAACCGTTTCAATACTCACGCGTTTCTGCCTCGCTGGTCTCCTCGAGCTATCCACGTGTTCAGACATGACACTGTATTTGCAGGGAGCATCAAAATGTTTCAATTGGCCGTTAGGCGTGCCGAAAGGGCTTGCACTGGTTTCAGCTGGCATGAAGAAGGCAGCTGCAGAAACAGTGACCAAGCACAGTCTTGCATGCATGCGTACAGTGGGAATGCATCCTAGGCTGTTTTTGAGGTGGCAAGTTGTCCATTTGACAGATGTCGCTCCAATTCTGCACTGCCTGAACGCACAATCCAAGAGTGCCCGCCCAACCTTTCCTTTAAATTCAAAAACTGTTTCGAAGAATATCTAACTCTACAGGTGTTGGCGTAGCCACTTTGCGACAACCACTTTCTGGATGGATCAATTATGCTTCATGGCCAGCGATTGCTCTGCATTTCAAAAGAATGCAATTTTAAAAAGAATGTATGTTCAATTGTACATGAGACGCACCGAGCTGGCGGCCGCTATTCAAAGTGTCAGAGTATTCAGATACTTCTCTGATGCAATGCCGGTTTTGTATGACCCAGGTTAACTTGTGTACTCCTTTTCAATCCCACACATAATGTTGAGGACAGCATGAGCTTCTATGGGAGAACGCTGTGCAGTTCAAGCAAAAGTGCCTTGGCCGGGGTATAATGTTCACAGGGAATCTTGTGGGAAGTTGTGGATGTGTTCTACAGCAACCTGGCATGATTTGATCACTTTTCCAACTTCGCTTGCAAGTTTCTTTGATTCATTGTCAAAGTTCCTTAGCCATCCCGGTTCGAGGTCCCGCTCCTTCGCAATCGAATGCGTGCAGCGATGGGCCACAACGCAGCACAACTCAAACCGACTTGATTCGACCTCTGTGGCAAACTTGCTGCGAGCGGTGCTCGAACGCCCTCGCCGTGCATGGTCGGGCAAGCTGCCAAGACTCAATTTGTCTTACAACCAAACCAAGAGAAGCCACGAACAAGTCTCAGGCTCTCCTTAAATACCAGAACGCGCTTCTTTTTTCGCCAACCAGCGCTCAAACTCAGAACGCCGGATTGAACTCACACTTCACGCAAGCACAACACGCTACCCCACAGCACCGAACCATGTCTTCGACCAACGGCACCGAGCTACAGCTTCAACCCATAGTTCCTACTCGCGATCACCAAAATTAGTAAGATTGAAGCTGATTAGTGGCCAGCCCTCCTCCCACCATCTCAATCAGTTCAATGTGTGCACCAGTCAGCCAGCACATGAACAGGTGCTCGCACAGCATGGCAGAGGGCGCTGTCTTGGTGTGTCAGACTTTAATCTCTTTAAACTGTCTTTTTTCACTTCTCTTGTTTGAGTTTCACTGCACATCAGTGTTCAGCCACCGACCTCCAGTTATGAGAACTGCAAATTTGCATGTGAAACATCGAGAAAAGGCGACAGCCATTCAAAGATATTGTTGATGGCATTCCTCGAGACGTGATTCTCATATGCCACCATTTAATCACAGGGTTGCAAATCAGTAATTGACGGGGGCAGATCAGTGGTCAGTTATTGGTAATTCGAGCAGTCATGCAAATCACCATATGAACGATCTGAGCAGGCAAAAATGCAGTGTTCGAGCGGCGGATTGGAGATGAAGGCCTGGCTCGTCCTTTCTCGCATGTGCTTGCCTCACCATTCTTTTCCCGGTAGTAAAACGACATCTATGACAGATTTGAACGTAAGTATGCACAGAGATGGCATATGACCTCTTGTGTGGGCGTTTGAGAATGATGGGGATACCTCGAATACATGTAGGCAGGCCTGTGATGGTAAGAGATGAAGCACCTGGTCTGTTTTCATGCCCCCGCGGGCAAGCAAAGCTGCGTTCAAACTCGGAGCCCGACGAACAAATATGTAAGCCCGAGCTCCGTGTGAGAGCCAATTTGTGAGGCTGCGTGCTGTTGCCATTAGACCTGCAATGAGTGTTGTGTCCGCGCTTCCTGTCAGGGGAGCGGTTTGAGCGATAACTCAGCCGGCTCGCCTCAACAAAGTGGTGTAGGTCGCAGCGCCGCAAAAGCCAGCACTTCAAGTAATTTTTTGGTTGGTTTCTTGATGCGGGCCAAGCATTATTGGGACGCCCAACCTGGGGGCACGCCTTGGGGGCGGCGAACTTTAACATGTGTCCGTCTGGGTAGATCAGAAGCATTTTCTTTTTTTTCTGGGTGCATTCATGTTTCCTTCTCTTTGGGGGCGGGGGGGGGGAGGGGAGGGGGGGCTGATAAATGAAACACTCTAGCTCTGGAGCACAGTCATCCCTCGTTGGCTCTCACCTCTGCACTCTCCCTACCCCCTTGGGAGTCGGGGAGTTGTCCTTGACATTTTCTAGCCCGTCTTTCTCTTTTTTCTTTGGGTGGCTTTGCTGCCGGTTTGGGGGCCGTTTGAGGACAGTCGAACACGAACACGGACGGAATTGTATGCTGTTTTGTGGGAACACTGCCCGACGTCGCCAGCTTGGTGACAGGGCGTGCTTTGCCATGTCTTTGGCAAATGTCATCGCAACGGACTTCCACCCCATTGTCTGCCCCCACGGTGCAAATTGCATCAAAACAACTGGCGGCTGGCCAAATCGAGCAGTTTTTTCAGTTGCTTTGAGTCAACCCCCTCCCGGGTGCGTCCGGCCTTCTGGTCGTTGTCTCACTACAAACAGGAGGCCCGATTTGTCCACATTGCCAAACGGATGGACGGCGATCGCGGGATGCGACACTGCGAGCGCCTGATCGCTGGAGGGGCGCGTTTGGATCAGCGCGGACGGCACTTGCGCTAGGCATCCGCCACCGCCTCTCCACCTTGTGCGCCGCTGCGCACTCGCCGCGCAGCGCACGGCCACGCCCTCCCCACAAGCGCGCAGTCGCCCGCCCAGCGCCTTTTCGGCATCGGCCACCGCGCGCTGCAGCGCGGCAATCCTTCGGGAATCGCTGTCGCGGGCCTCCGGGCGGCGCAGGCATCCCAGGCGGCCATGGCGCAGTACACGAACCCGGTCATGGAGCACTACGACTGCAGGAACTCTCCGTTCCTCGATCTGAGGAGCCCTTTCACGGCCTGGTGGGTGGTCGGGCCGGGCAAAGTCAAATTTGCGCAGCCTCGGTGGATCTCGTGTTGGTTTTCCATTTGCGAACGCGCGGGTGCTCGACGCGTGGGAGGGATGCAGGGTCGCCGGGGGCGGCAGACGTCGCAGAGTGACAGAGCGAGCCCGTGGGAGCATTGGTGCGAGCGCGGTGGCACAATGTGCACTGCGAGCAAGATCTGGGAGATCTGGGCGGATCGCCCTCCAGCGATCTGCTGATAGTGTGGAAGGGGTGCAATTCGCGGTCAGGCGCCGAATGATTCTCCATTCGCGCCTGGCGACTTGCGGGTTGCCTCTCGGTCCAGAGATAGCGCGATGCTCGAGGCCGGAGTGCTGCACTGCATTACCCGTCTTCTTGGCCTTTGTTGGCCGTGGGCGGATCAGCCTTCGGCACTGAGGGGATGTCTTTCATCCCCTGAGTTCCTTGGACAGGCGCCTGGACCCGGTGCAAGGGTGGAGCGCGGAATCACGAACAAATGGAAATGTAGAAACTAAGCACTGGGTGCATAGACGCCCGTCTTCGCCTTGCAGGCACAAGGGCACCATTGTGCCCTTGTGGTGGAATCAAAAGTAATCCAAACAATCCATTGCACACCCCCTGCGTCTCTATTGACTGCTACAGGCCTTTGGCAATTCAGAACATCTCAGATTCTGACTGCAACGGGAACAAAGCACTCACTGGACAACAGTTGTGTTTGTGAACAGTGTCTGACATCACCCATTTGGTTAACGGAATTGATTGTCGTCTTTCACCGGCATGCTCAGTGAGGATTCATGCTGTGGTGGCCAGGGAGAAGGTCAAGATGGCATTGCTGATAGTGACAGTAATTCCCAGGGTTCTGCTTGCCTTTCTCGCTCTGAGCTGCATGGCACTCTTGAGCACGCTGGCCACCCTACATTGGTGAGTCTTCTGGACGATGAGTCAATCATGGCTCAGGATTCAACTGCACCACTGGCATACAGTATCCAAGACAGAATTTGGTCATGGACAAGACAGTGAGGGCTTCGCATACACAAATCATACTGGAACGAAACTCCAGTGTACTTGCTGATTGCTGTGCAATATTGGCAGTTTTGACAAGCCATGTATCGCAGGATTCCGCCTGATGTTTTGCAGCATAACAAGGAGTGAAAAATGTTGTTGCTCAGGGAAATCCAGTTATTTAATGAATATGCATCTCCTTTTGTTTGTAAGAACCATAGAATGCTCCATTCATTTAGATGCAGCATGGACAGGCCCCAGCACAGGTTTCTCTTGGTTCTGCCTGCCTTGAATTTTTGCTCATGTTGACCATATTGTCATCCCTGTGCATCTGGGTTGATCCAGCACTGTTGTGTCTGCAATGAAGGCCGCTTGACAAGCCACTGCCTCCCATGCGGAGAAAAATTGTGTTGTGGTCGCGGCATTTCTCCATGGTATGTGTTTGGCTCATGGGATTCTGGGTTCGATGCCATGGCTGGGAGAACGTGGCAGAGGCAGAAAAGAAAAATGTTCGGGTATGTGCTGCTGGAATTTGAAATGCCGTTCTTGTTTGTGCTTGTTTGTGCTTCTTGTTGGTTACTTCACTTCTTGCACCTTGTTGAAACTGTCTGCACCAGCCATGTGATCCTTGTTGATTCAGTGTTTTTGTTCTTCTTTGTATACTGAGTGCATATTGACCGGATACTGCCAACAGCAGCACTTTGCTGTGTTCCCTGGGGTCGCTGATAACTTGGTGCCTGTGTCACTGTCACTGCCTTCTTCCCTGTTTTGAACTACTTCCTTGCAGTCAACACTGAGTCCTGCCCCTTGCATAGCATACCCTGCTGCAGTGTTTGTGGATCGCTTTTCTGCGAGTAGGTTCTGGTTTTGTGTGTTCTACAAAATCTTGCTGTAAGTATGGCCTGAAATCCCAACGCACTATCCATCGCCAAATTCACCTCGCTCACGTGCTTGCAACCTCGTTTATTGGATGGGGATGATGCTGTACACGAGGCACATCCCAGCTGGTTTGTTGGAGCCCATAGCAGCAACGTTAAGTATTGTAGTTCTTGCTCACTATGTGAAGAGGAAAAAGTATGTCTGCTGCAACAGGAGTATTGAACAGGATATAGAACAGCCGGAAGATATGTTGCAGTCCTATTCATGACTGCCATTGTATCCCACTCCCACAAACTGGTGATGGTGTTCTCCATACGATGAGCCTTCACACCCCAAGCACACTGCAGGCCACTGATCCTTGCAGCCAGCCGATCTGCGAACTGCCACACATCATTGGAATATTGATGCTGGTTGTGTTATAGTAATGGACTAGGTTGAGCAGTAGTTGCCTGTCACAGTCAAACATATTGTTGCCTCAGAAGGTGTGAGTGCAGTGCTTCATCAGATTTTGACAACTGCAATCAAAGGATTCATGCACAACACACAACTTGAGAGCTGCGTGCTTGGACAGGCTATGCACTATACATGCACTCTTGGTGTCTTTGGCTGCTTCTGAAGAATTTCGTGCCTCTGCATTGCAGTTGATCATGTTCAACCATGTTTCATATGTGGACTCTTTCATCTTGGTGGGTTATTTTGCCCCAGCTGGCTTGTCCAAGGCCAGCAATGCTGGCTACCCTATCATAGGCCGGTGCATTCGATCCTTGCAGAACATTTACCTGCCTGATGCAAGACAAGTTAAGGACGGCAAGAATGGCACAGGGGTGTCCAAAGCAGAGAGCGTCAGCGAGCAGATCACCAGGAGGTACAGGCACACACGGCAAGGGCGCATACTGCAGGATTTTGAAGTTGTAGTGCCTCCTGCACTCCTCGCAGATTTCAAATCCTGAAATGGGCATAGGTGCCCAGGTGGATGCTGCTTTCTTGCACTCCAATTGGCATAATGGACACAGAAGTGGGGCTCTGTTGGTGTCAGTCTGCCGGCCATCTCCTGCAGGTGAAGTGTGCAGAGAAGGGCAAGTTATGTCGGTGTAAGCTTTTATTTGTAGCCCCAAAGGTACCAAGGAGCATAAGTCTTCATTGATACCACCTGAACCATGACAGTTGTCCAAGCAGGACAATGCACCGCCCCTTCACCTGTTAGGCATTGTTGACACCCTTTGCAGCTTCTTGGCAGCACTGACCTTGTTCTTAACTGTTAGAGTGAGGAGTTTCAAGCACAGCATGCGACGATCTTTTCCCTAATCCGTTTTAAGGTATGTGACTGGGTGTGCATTCAGGGTTACTGACCTCAGGTACCCAATGCTTGCCGTGGCACCTGAAGGGACATGTGGAGACGGCAGGTGCATCTTGCAATTCCGAACAGGCTCGTTCGTTGCCGGCGCCCCTGTTCTCCCAGTGCTGTTTAAATACAGCAACAATGGTATCAACCCTGCGTGGGGAGTTGTGAACATGGGCCTTCATGTGGTGAGCGTTCTGATACGACCTGAATCACTCTGTGTATCTGGAACCACCACAAGCGTAGCTCTTGGCTGAGCTTAGGGCATGCGTCTGCCCTGAATTACGCAGTTGAAAAATTGAAATCACACGCTTTTGCCAGTTAATTTGTCAGGTGTTGCGCACATGCACCAACGTTTTTGATTTGGAAGCAATGTCTCCCTATGGGCCCGCCGTAGTGAGGACTGTTACTATTGTTGAAGTGTTTTGGTCATAGCAGTGCCCATCGGCCACTTCCCTGTCAAGCTGGGAAGAGCACCCCCTTGTCGACTTTGTCAAGCCCACGTGTCGCTGTGCAGTGCTCATTGTAGTTGCTGTGGGGGTTCGTGTCCATCGCTGATCCACATTTGTGCCATTGCAGCTGAGAGTATTGTGCCAGTTCTACAACTCTGTGGATGTACACATCCTACCACCCTACATGCCTTCTGAAGCAGAAAAGAAAGATCCTGCCCTGTATGCCAGCAATGTGCGGACGCTCATGGTAGGTGCACCAACACCTTCCTCTTCGCATTCAGTCATCACCGTGCTAGGGCACGCAGCCTGTCCTGTCTTTGACTGAAGCACTTGTTGCCAATGCCGATTGGCTATTTGCTGCTTTTTCAGAATGCAGTGGGCACTCATTGTGTCTTCTCTCATTCGCTATGGCATTTGCTGCTTCCGGTTGAATGGGTTCCACAACCTCCCCTGCCTGCACTCTTTGTGTGCACCACTGGTACCTTCGGTGAGCCAATTGCAATATCTGCCTCTGCTGTAGAATGTTTAATGCAAATCAGATTTGCGTTGATTTCTCAACGCAGCTGATGACCTGCTCGTGGTGATGCCTGTAATGTACCTGCCTTCTAGACACCTGGTCCGGTAAGTACAGTAGATGAGTCGAGGACTGCTCTCGGCAGAGCAGCTGTTGTTTCGGTGTCTGAGGTCCACTGGCATCCGTGGCAGGCATCTCACTTGGACGTGCCCATGGTGGAACACATGTACAACCACTACTACGCGCTTTGCAAGTTGGACATCAACGTCGCCACCGACGGGACCAGCCTCACAGCTCCCCCTGGGGTACTGGACGCAGAAGGATTTGCAGACCTCACGACGGTGTTGAAGAAGAAGGAATGAATATGCAGGAGCGCCTTGGTTTGGCTGAGGCCTGCCACCTGCTGGCCAGTCTATTGAATAGTTCGCTTTGCATGCGTACTTGATAATTGAGAAGCTGATGAGCTCGGTAGACCGAGGGGCGTTGACATGCATGGTGGCTGGCTGGTTGGTGTTTCACTGGAGTTTGTCATGTGGCAAAGGGCGGCCGAGGCATTTGGGCGTCCGGTGAATAGACCGCCGACAGAGAGCTGCGGTCTTGGTGGAGAATCGAAATCAGTGTTGTGTTCGCAGACGGCGACGCTTGTGTTTTTCCCCTTGCTTGAGAGGAAATCGATCGCAGAATGTGAAGGTGTTGTGCAGATGTGCGAACGTTGTTCTCGTGTACGCCGCCCACTTCGCAGTGCGCGGTTGTCCATCTGGAACAAGACTCTGCCTTTCGTTGCTGCCCGCTTCAGCACCACATTTCAATTTCGCACGTATGTGCCCTTGGAAGTCGCGCGGCATGCAGCAGAGACAGGGACAAGAAGAATCGCATGTATGCGACTCTTCTTCTTCCTCAAAGCTTACCAGTATGCTGAGAAGCTTTGGGGAAAATGGGCCATACTACGGTGCTGGAGCATCCCATTAAAGAGTCTTCAATCGAGGTGGAGTGTGTCTGACATTGGCTCCCCGTTACTGTACTTCGGGAGTCGCATGCTCACAGTGTGTCCCTGTCCCAGCGATTTGTGCAGGATTGGTAGTGCCAGCTAGGGACTGGTACTCACGGAGTCAGCGCCGTAACGCCCTTTGCATTGGCAATGTGACATGCTAATGACGTTACTTTACATTGCTTATGCGATCAAGCCACATGAGAAGCCCAACTTCTCCCAACGCGCCACTGCCTCGCCCGTTAAGCCCCTTACGAGAAAGCAACGCAAATCTGCGGCCCGCCTCCAGCGCAACGACGAAGGGCTATGTCGCCAGATTATCTTTCACTCTGCACCCCAGCGAACATCTGCACAGTGAGCATGCTCAAGCACTACGGCGATTCGGAAATGAAAGGCAGCCTCCCAGTATGTCGGGAGGATTATGTATCCAACCTCCCCATCCACAGTTCCCAAAGTACACAAAAGTGATAGTCACGTACCTGTCAGACTCAACGCCCCACGAACAGAACGCCCACCACTTCGCGAACTTGCCACCATGTTCGCGGCCGCTGGCCACAGCACTTCCTTGTTGAACACAAGATTGCCCACCCGGAGTATCGCACCATCGATATTGATTACGCGCATTAGTCTTCCATACCGAAAGCATACGGCATCGGGCATCAGTACGGCAGCAAGCAAGAGCCCGCCGCTCCTTGCCTGTCAGGGCCTGCCGTTTGCACGGCCCCTCGGCGACCGGATGTAAGGCGCCGTCGCGGGGCCGGCAACGGCACGGGCTGCGGACTTTCAGCCCGTGGTCACCTCGATCTTCTTGGCCCCTTCGTCCGCGACCTCCCGCTTGGCGACGCTCACGGTCAGCACGCCCCTGTCCAGGCGCGCCGCTATCTTGTCCGGGTCGGCGTTCTTCGGCAGCACGAAGCTCCTCGTGAAGGACCGCTCCTTGCGCTCCACCTTCACCCACCTGCCGCGCCGTAACAAAAGGCCGTCGGCACACTGCCTGCGGTGGAAGCAATGCCGCCGGCCAGCGCCTGACTCGCCCAGGTCCAGCTGGTGGATGCGCTGGCGCATGCAGCGAAACAAAATGTCAAACGACCACGTCGCAGATGAGATGCCGATCGTCACCTGCCGTCGTCGCCCTCCTGCCGCGCCTCCTCCTTGCGCTCGCCGCTTATGGTCAGCTTGTTGTCGTTGAACTTGACGTCGATGTCGGCGGGATCCATGCCTGGCGCGTCCGCGCAGATCCTGTACTCCGTTGGGCTCTCCGCCACGTCCATGGGGTGGTCCCCCCCGGCGTGCAGGAAGTCGTCCGACTCTAATGCGGGCCACACGTGGCCCAGTCGGCTGGACAGCGCCCTGTCGAACAGACGGCCCATGCGGTCCTCCAAGTCCGACGCGAAGGGGTGCCACAGCGCCATTGCGTCGCTTCGCACAGGGCCGGCGTCAAGAAAGGCTTCGCGAGGGGCAAGATGCGGAGGGGGCTGTGGGAGTTGGGCTGGGAAAAGAACGGAGGGCTGCAGCGAGGTCTTTTACAGAGGTTGTCGATGTTCGCCGCGCGGCGTATTTATGTGCCACCGGTGGAAGATGCGCGACTCGTCCAGGTAGTGCGCACGTCAGGCGATACGGTGGCGTGGCGTTGACATGTCGTCGTGTGTGGAGCGGAGCTGGCGCGGCAATGCACAGTTTCCGGACAAATCGCGGAGCTTCCACCGATACGCATAAATACGTTGCGCGGCTGCGCGTTCCTACACGGAGACCCCACCCCAAGGCCACCAACGCCGTTCTTCTACCGGCCCAGCTCAGACACCGCCCCAGCTCCCATCTTGCCCCTCGCGGAGCCTTCGGAGCCGCCCCTGTGCGAGGCGACGCGATGGCCCTGTGGCACCCCTTCGCCGACTCGGACCTGGAAGACCGCATGGGCCGGATGTTCGACAGGGCGCTGTCCAGCCGACTGGGCCACGTGTGGCCCGCATTAGAGTCGGACGACTTCCTGCACGCCGGGGGGGACCACCCCATGGACGTGGCGGAGAGCCCAACGGAGTACAGGATCTGCGCGGACGCGCCAGGCATGGATCCCGCCGACATCGACGTCAAGTTCAAAGACAACAAGCTGACCATAAGCGGCGAGCGCAAGGAGGAGGCGCGGCAGGAGGGCGACGACGGCAGGTGACGATCGGCATCTCATCTGCGACGTGGTCGTTTGACATTTTGTTTCGCTGCATGCGCCAGCGCATTCACCAGCTGGACCTGGGCGAGCCAGGCGCTGGCCGGCGGCATTGCTTCCACCGCAGGCAGTGTGCCGACGGCCTTTTGTACGGCGCGGCAGGTGGGTGAAGGTGGAGCGCAAGGAGCGGTCCTTCACGAGGAGCTTCGTGCTGCCGAAGAACGCCGACCCGGACAAGATAGCGGCGCGCCTGGACAGGGGCGTGCTGACCGTGAGCGTCGCCAAGCGGGAGGTCGCGGACGAAGGGGCCAAGAAGATCGAGGTGACCACGGGCTGAAAGTCCGCAGCCCGTGCCGTTGCCGGCCCCGCGACGGCGCCTTACATCCGGTCGCCGAGGGGCCGTGCAAACGGCAGGCCCTGACAGGCAAGGAGCCGCGGGCTCTTGCTTGCTGCCGTACTGATGCCAGATGCAGTATGCTTCGGTATGGAAGACTGATGCGCACCATAAATATGGATGGTGTGGGAAACGTTTGTGTGTTCCCCACAAAGTGGTGTGGCCGGTGGACAGCCACGATGAAAAGAAACTTCGTCGAGCTCGAGAACTGATCGGTGTGTGCGGTTCGTGGGGCGTTGAGCCTGATGGGCATCCGATCCATTCTTAGCAAACTGCAAATGTGGAGGTCGGATACATCTCTCCTAGCCACGTATCGGGAGGTTAATTTCCATTCCCGAGTGGGCATTATGATTGAACATGTTCGCTGAACAAGCTAACTGAACAGATGTTGGACTTGGGGGGCACATTGAAACTCCTTTCGATGGCACGGCCATTCGACGTGGTGGTGGAAGGGGACCATAGGTTTGGGTTGCATTTCTCAACAAGTGCCGAGCGGGTGAGGGAGTGACGCTTTGCGAGAATTTGAATTCATCATGTGGCTTGGTCGGATAACCAATGTACGGTAACATCATTAGCTCATAATCATGCAATTGGAGCGCGTCAAAGATGGCCTGGGGCCCATCTGCACACATGCATGAGCGGCAGCGCGCACTCGGCATTGCCAACCTTGCACAGAATCGCTGCGAGAGCGAGGCAATTTGCGCATGCGACTCCCTAAGCACAATTCCAAAGCGCCGCTGCCAACCAGGCTTCATTCTGAATTTTAGCCTTTTCAATAGGATATTTCAATGTGATTTGGGCGCATGAATTCCTTGTCCTTTTACGCAACGTTCATTTCAGTGCTCACAACGCCAGGTTTGGAGTTTCGCTCCTGGAGGGAACCATGTTGGTGAAAGCCAACCTCGAGCCACGCGGAGAAACAAGTAGGCAGAGGAGGAATGGCAGATAGAACTCCTGGAAATTGCAGAGCGCTGGTAGCTGGGGAAGGTTCGGCAATTTACCCACCAAATCTAAAACGGCCTCTATGGCATTTCTTCATATCGGTTGCGGAAATTGCTTTTGGATTGAGCATAGTTCAGCTGCGGGTACTGCTTGCTAGTTGGCAGCAAACGTTTTTCTGGGACATAAACTGTTCTTGTGTGGCACTGAAGACAATCAAGTGGGCTAAACGGTCATTGGGCGCCACAGGAAAGAAATATATGTCTGAGCGCATCTTCACTGTCAAAAAGTCCAGTTTTTTGACCAGAAAAGGATCCAGCCGCATCAATGCTGATGAAGCGCAAATTGGTCTGTTCCAGAATGAAATCTATGTTTGCGCCCGGATAGCATTGTCCACAGTTATCGCGAGGGCATCACATGAATTACATGAGCATCCATCTCATAGTTTTATGCTCATTGGAGCAGACCGGGCTTGGTTTTTACGCGGTAAAAACTGATCGTATTGTATTTACGTTTTTGTGCGTAAAACTAGCTTTTACGTTTTTACCCGTAAAAATGCGTAAAACTACGTAAATATAACGTAAAACTGCCCGGTGTATACAAGGACAGTACATACAGACTTACGGAGTCCGGAGAGTGGCAGCCAGACGCCCTGGAAGGGGCATAAGACGAGTTTTTGTTAAACACCATCATCGCCCTTGCCATGGGCGAGGTGGACATTGTGTTGCGGGGGCTGGAGATGGCGGAGGACTGATCATTGTGCGCAACTCTCATCGTGTAACCTGGGTGTCCAAGGGAGCCGTAAAAACGTAAAAACAGCCGTAAAAATAGGCCCTTTTGCAAATTCACGTTTTTGTGCGTAAAAACATGAACGTAAGCGTAAGAATCCCCCAGCAGACCTAACATCCAATAGAAACTGCGCCCAATTATCCAAACTGCATTCAACTGCCAACACACGATGAAGGGCAAAACCAGGCGTACCTGAGTCGTGTCTACTCTCAGCTATTTCACCCCCAAATCGACCAGTATTTGTACCCATGACCTCAGGTGAACAACACGCAGACGCCATCTGATGGTTGCAATTTGGTGACCAAATGCCAGTGACTGGATTCCTATAAGTTGAAAATGCAAACATGTTCTTGAGAAGAACCGCTCGTTCCGCCAAAACAGGCTGCCGAGACTATGGGCCTGTTGCTTGCGATCCCATATGGGCGTTGGAAAATGCAGCAGTCATGCACTGCATATGGCACATGAGCCCCGTCGCTGCATTTTTCACAACCAGTCTCTCACTGAACCCCATGCAGGTCCATAGTGTAGGCGTTGCTCTCTGGATTTACTAACAATATCAGTGCATTCATGTGCCGTTAAAGCCGCGACCGCACATCTTGTACGGATTCGTAGCTGGATCTCGCCTTTAAGGGGTACCTAGCAACGAGCCCCGGGGACAAACAAAGATCAAAAGTAAAAAATATCGTCCAAAGCACAAGGTTTGACACCGTGTAAAATCGCACAAAACCAGGCTTGGGAAATGCACCTGGGTTTAAATAGAAATACGCAAGAATACGCGTATTTTGCAAAAAAAGAACAAAAAAACGCGCATACCTTTAGACGTTATTTACACCAATTACATTGAATGCCCATCATTTTTGCAATTATGAATGAAATAGGGCCTGCCATTTGCATCCTACGGACGTGCGGCCTGCACGCCAAGAGGGAGATGGGTGCGCTGCGGACGCAGCGACGAGTGAGCGGCGATGCTGAAGGCCGCCCACCACTGATATGGTTGCTGATGTAGAGGCTGTGGGCGACGGCGATATGGATGGTGATGCTGACTGATTAGTTTGTTATCAATGGATGCTCACTGATTGAATTTTTGGTGTCATCGAGGCTGCAATTGTGAAAGCATTTGCCGTAGTTTTAGACCTATTTGAAGACAAATAAAGACAAAACAAAAATACGTGATATTGCACTTATTTACCGCGTTCTTATTTTAGGCCGTATCCGTGCAGATACGCGTATTGCCTGTATAGAACAGTGTCAAATCGTGCAAAAATCACGTAGACTCGCTCAATCGTTGTTACATGGTTTGATCCCATTTTCATACGACTTAACACGATTTTCTCGAGATTTTCAATCGTGCCACACTTTACACAATTTTCAATCCGTGTATTTTGGCCTGTTGCTTACTAGCGGGTCCTGGGGTAGAGCTACCTGGAAGCGTGGCAACGGCCCCGCAGCCATCCCAAACGCCACCCACAACCTCAGAGGCACCCGCAGGATCTGCGACTCCGCTTGTCTTATCGGGGGACGTTGGGACTTTACCTTATAACAACATGGAATCACACATATGTGTTGACAGTGTGGTAAAAACACCCGCATTTGTTGCGCGGTTTGCTACACATTTGGAAAGGACGAATCAGGAGAGGTATCGCGATGGGGATGTTTGGCTGGCTGGAAGCAACGCACTTTGCTAGTAGCAACAGACATATCAAAGCAGCGAATATTGGCGCGCTGTTGGCAGACGGGAGCGTGCACAACCATGCGGCATCAGTGCTCAGAGGTGAGCGCTAAAGTTCTATGGCCGTTTTTGGTAATTTATGAATCACAAAGCATACGGAAAGCAGCAGATTAACCTGGAGGTGGGTTCTTGCGCAGTCGGCAGCCTGGATCCACAGTTGTTTTGGCTCAGCTTCGTGGCGATAATGCATCGAGCTTCACATATTCCGCTGATCTCAACGGAGGCGCTGGGTAAGGGCCTTGCGAGCAGCCCACTGGCCTCATATTTACAACTTCGCGGTACTGCAGCGACAGACCGAAAGTTAAGCCACAGGGCGCTTTTCCCAACAGTATGAATACCCCGATGTTTGTGCTGCAGGTCACCATGTGCTTGAAAGGACAAAGGACGGGAAGGTGGTGGGCCAGACAGAAAAACAACTGCGTACATACAAATGTGCAATGTTCAGAACCTACAGCGAATGGGCATCGACAGCAGGTCTCAGGGCGCGTGACAGCGAGTCACTCAACAGTACTGTGCACCTGGGATTGCCATGACGCTGAGTGGATGCGGGGACTGTGTGCGTGGGCTGCGTGCTTGCCCATAGAAGTAGAATCTCCAAGAGAAGTTATGTGCCACTGCATCAAACTTCCGTCCAATCGAAATGGAATCCACTGTGCAATGGATGCGAGCCTGTCCTCAAGTCGTCCCAATATTAACGCACCCAGCTTGAATCTGTTATGCCGTCCACCACGACAGCGACATATATACTTCGCCGCTGGTAACTTGGCCACAATGAACGCCAGGGAATATCGCAGTTGTGGCGACCAGCCATTGCTCACATGATCTGCGCTATGGGCCGGGTCAAAATGTTGCATTCAATTGAATGCTTTAATAGCCTGGCGTTATGCCACAAGCGTGCGGCATTTTCCCGTCTGTCATCAACGCTTGCGAACGGCCCATCAGCCTCTGTTCAATTGTCTGTTTTCTGTGAGGTCCATCGACCATGACTTTTTCTGCCATTCAGCACATCGCAAATGCAGTTGGCAAAGGGCGTTTTGTCTTGTGACCTTGCGCTAGACTGCTGCTCCATCTTGTGAGCTATAGCGACCGCAATCTCGAGAAAGAACCCAATCAGCTGCGACGCCGCAGGGGGTTGTCGCAGGCCTCTGCGGCGTCGCAGGGAGGGGTTGGAAGGATGGCTGTGCGTCAGCAGTGTCGGCGGCATTTGTCGCAAATGGGGCGTGGGGGTGTTGTCGGGGCCGTCGGTGGTGTCGGCAAGGCTCCCAGTTCCCTCATCGACGCCACGGGCCACGGGGCTGCGACGTCGCAGCCTCCTGCGCCGTGGGCACTTGGAGGCGTCGCAGGAGGATGTTGGGCCTCTAGCGGCAATCTCTACCGCCGCAACAGCGCGTAAGCACATGCTAGAAACGCCCTTTCAGCAGACATCTCACCAGCAGCCAGCGCTGGATACAGCATGGAAATGAGTACAGCACTGGGACGTGTAAGA